TTAAGAACTGAACAGCACGTCAAAGAGGAGAGGGAGAGAAAGCCTTACAAGATAACATTTAATCATCATAAAAATGCATGCATGAATGTGACAAGGAGAAAGAAATGCATATATCTTAAAAATCAAAATGTAACAGAAATCTAACCAAAAAGTAAAAAAAAAAAAAAGTGCAATAATGTGTGCAGTGACTTGGACAGAATAAGATAGATAAATATACACTGCCAGCTGATCTCCTTTCTTAAGAGGACTATCTCATTTTTATTTTTTTCAATCAAATGGTCCCTAATCCTGACAGATGATATGTCAATTCTTACTTGTCCTATTTTGGGGCTTCTTGGAAGTATTTTCCATTCTTTTGTCTTTTCAATGGCTTTTTTCAATGTATTTTCTGCGTACATTACAGGTCTTTAGGGACCCATTACAGAAAGCAGTGTTTAGCATAACTCCATCCTTGTATCTCACTTCACACTTCTAGTGGCAATCATGTATTGTCCCCTATAGGGTAAGGGTGATTCTTAAATTGTGTTTAAAACCTTATTCAGGAAATCAGAAACCCTAACTCAGTTCCATTGTATTTCTATCAGGGGCTGCAAAGATAGAGTCTGAAGCATTACCTGTCCCCTAGCTTGTTTGTTGGCACGACCACCCAAGTCGTGCCAATGTACATTCCATGTCAGGAACTAACACAGAAGCACAAGAAATGGAGAAGTGTTGTGGGTCCTTCAAACTCCAACCATCAAACTCCTAGGATTAGCCTAGGTGATTGTATTTCTTCACTAGCTATGCCCTGACGCTGTCCGCTCTGCCATTATCAAAATTCGTGTTTGGTTTTGCCTGCTTTGCCTCACGTTTTTGGCAGCCACACTCACGTGCAAGTTTCTCTCAGCTCTGCTTAAACTGAGAGAGGCTTTAGGGTGTGGCTGGAGATCTTGAGTTGGGAGTTACCGAGTGGGGCACATCATGGTCCGTTAACCCCTGGAGCCCCTTCGGTGACCCCCAACCAAAGCCCTCTCTTATGCGGTGTGTCCCCCACACATCACACTTGCTACTGACCTGTATGTGGGAATATGGTGACTGACATTTAGCTCTGTGGACCCACACATGTGATAAAACTCCCCAGGAAACATAGACTGGATCAAGCTGGGTGAGATGCGCAAGCTCCTCAGTGTGTCCTAGCATCCTGAGAGAAAATAGCAGACAGCTATATGACTTTCCTTCAGAGAAGCATCTTACTAAAACCCTACAGAGGATGCAACATACATTTCTCCTCATCTGTGTGCTGAATGGAGGGAGCTGTGGGCCCTCCCATTTCCCTGATAGGAAGCAACAGTGTGCGGGCCAGTGCATATCGTGGATATGTGCACATGTATTTATTTATGTATTTGTTATCATTAGTTATTCATAGCAGTGCATGAATGACCTGTGTGTCTGTGGAGGTTGGTCATTGCTGGAGCAAAGAGGGTTTCCCATCTACAAGAGGTGGTGTTCTCACCACATTTGGTTCTACACAGTCCTTGCTTCCTCTTCAAAAAAGACACATGGAGACCCAGAGAGAGACAAAATGTTGATTACATTCCCAATGCTATTTAGGTGAGTAATGCTGCAGGCGGGTACTTAGTGGGACTTCCAGAAGCATTTCTGCAGAGTTCATTCCTGTACCTGCCTGGCTCTCATGGTCCCCAAAGGCAAGTGTCAGGGCCCTGGGGCACAGCCTTGACCAACCCCACCAGGACGCCCACCCAGGCACCCGGAGTCCTGTTGCAGCACAGCCCTGAGCACCTGGTCCCCACCTGAACTGCACTCCTCTGCCTCCTGGCTGGACCTGCTGAAAGCCCAGGTTGAAAACACATAAAAAAAAACAATAGAGCTGGGGAGACAGAGATGCTTGCAAGCTGTAGGGTGACTCTGCCAGATGTTTTTAGGCAAGGAACACCCCAGGCATCACCTCTCTGCCCTGATGCTTTGCAGTGAGCAGAACTCTGGTCCTGCATTGCTCCTGCTGCTGTACCCTTTATTTCTAGGTAGGCAGCATCTCCTGAGTTGCCCTTGTCCCAGGTCTGTTTCCCTGACTTAGGTGTTGTACACAACCTAATAGAAGCATTTATTTTCAAATCCCCTCCTTTGGGACAGAAATAATGTGGTTTTTACCTCCCATGAACATCATCCATGCACTTACTAAGATTAAAAGGCAACGCTCCTTCACTCCTGTACCAAGACAGCTTTAGGTCTCACTGTCTTAGGGACTTGGAAGTAATATAAAACCTGCTTGGCAAAAGGCAGGCCTTGCTATCTGGTTTGAGTGGGAAGGAGAAAGATTTCACAGTGGGGGGTGCCATCTTCCCAGCTGGCCTCTAAATCTAAGCATGCAAATCCCTTGTCTGGCCAGACCATATATTTTAAAAGCTTTGGGGTTTTTCTTTAATTGGTTTAAGAGCTTGGCTAATGCATAAGGTACAGTGCAAACCAGTTCTGCGTTACACACGATTCTGGGTTATCTCACCACTCTTTCCACAGCCTGAAATGAAAGAAAATAACAGAGCCGATTATAGGCTTCAGCTACATGCTTTGCAGGTTTACATGCCTGGGAGCAGCTTGGGATCTAACTATATATTTTATAAGTGCTGTTGTTTAGATTTGTGTTTTGCAACAGATATAAAGCAGAAACCATTCTAAGGACCTCTCTGCTAGGAAGATTTTTCTTGCCTATTATTAGCACTCTGCTTTTGCAGCAAGTGCTCATGAGCCAATATGCTGGGTTTTAAAGGACTTCAAAGTGTCATTGGGAACCAAGTGATATGTGTGTTAAAAAGGGTTTAATGGAGCTGCAGTCGCTGTAGCACAGTGTCTTTTTATAGCAAGTTTTTACAGCATTAAGAAAAACATCCTGCAGATTTCAGTAGGATTGGCATATGGATAAGGTACTTCGCACTATGATTTTTGTTTATGTGCTATTAAAAAAAAAGAAAACCAGCATTGCTAGCTATAGGGAGAATGATAAGCAGGAAGAGTTCTGCAAAACTCAGGCAACAGCTATTGCCTCTATTTTGGGTTTAATTATTTTCTCCTTTTTTTCAAAGAAAAGCGTATATTTGAAAGCCAGCAGCTTGACTTAGGGAATGGAGATATGGAGTGATTTGTATTCACATTGAAGATTTTAAAGTCTTTTTTTTTCCCCAGAGCCGCTGGATTATATTATCATTAGCACAAGGCAAATCCTGCTTATCAAAGTTGAGGCAAACTTTCTGGGACTTTAAAAAGTCATAGGTCAGGCTCCCAAGGAAAGAAGTGGTTTGCAAAAACCGCATTAAATACTAAAGTGGATCTGATACCTACGTGATCACGTTGATCTGCAGGAATTGGCAGGAATTTTATTAGATCCTCTAGTTCTCCTTTTACGACACTATTTATAAGTCTCTTTTAATTACTCCCGGGAAGCATGCAGGGATACCAGGTGAGACAGGCTCCTCATTGTCCTTTAGCAACCTGTGTTAACAGCCTGTCAATTTCTGAAAGAGGCAGGCGAGGAGTGGAAAGGAAATACAAGTACCTGTGGCCCACTGAGAGGGCAAAAGGCTTGCCCAGGGTTATACAAAAATACATACAGTGTCTGGAATGTGGCTGTACGGACTTGTTCCAGCTCTGAAGCAACGTCATCTAAAAATGTTTTACTCTCTGCTTTTGCTTCAGGCTGGAGAACAACTGGTTTCTGCCTTATCTGAGGGATTGGGAAAAAAAACAGAGTCAGGGAAACCTTTGGTTGTTGTGACTGCCAAAGTAGGAACAGCTCGGGATTTCTCAAGCCTCGCAGGCAGCTGAGAGCTGCGAGCAAATGTGCTCAAAGCTGATGACAACAGGGGTTCAGCTCCCAGTGCTGCCCTTACACTGGCAGCTGTTTCCCATCCCCGTGGCTCAGTCCCAGCAGAACTAAAGCCCTGGCAAAACCCCAGCGTGGCAGCCCCATCCCTTCTGCCCCTGCTGCTCTGGCTTGAGCAGCTTCTCATTTTTCACACCCAGTCCTCCCGAACGGAAACCCTGGTCTAAAATCTTACACAAGCAGCCGGAGAGATATTTTTTTCTAGTCTGCGGAGGAGGGCAGAGGAGTAATGGTGCAGGGGGGAAGGGTTTGTGGAGTTGGTTTCCTTTTTTTTCTTTTTGCAACACTAGTTATTCAGGGGAGTGTCTTGCATTATTAATGCTGAGTGGCTCCGGCAACTACTGCGGTTCAAGGTCGTTACTCATCCGCTGCTACTGCAGGAGACACCGGAGCGCTGAGCCAGAGCTGTTCATCCAACTCTTATTGGTCCTCCCAGGCCAGCAGGTTGGGAAGAGCTACACATGGGGCAGCGGGGTCGCGTGGGGGTGTGGAGAGCAGCCCTGGGCCGTGGGGTCATCCCAGTCTGGTCATGGGGTGCCTGGGTGTGTGGGATCTGCTGGGTTTAGTGGGTGGCAGGGCCTGAGAGGAGCTGAGGGGTGTGCAAAGAGCAGGGGTTGGGAGAGCACCTGCGATGTGAGAGTGTGGGATCCTCCATGCACCTTGTGGGAGGGCAGAATGTCTGTGTGCCTACCTGGGTATCTGCCCCTGTATCACTTACAGCTACAGAGGCATGCAAGTCTCCTTTCATCTCAAGCTGTAGGAATGCAGGATGCTCTCTGAGCATGTCCACGTGCTCCCTTCCTGCCTGATTTCTTCCGTTTTTCCTTCTTTAGGATGAAGGGCCCTAGGCAAACATTCCTTAATTTATTCTGCATCCTCTGCCTCTTGCTTCTGCTGAAGGCTGCCTCTTCCTCCCCTCTACACCATGAAAATGAACTACCACCCCCTTCACTTCCCATTGGGCTGTACAAAGGACAGACCTGCGTTGGTATGTATCCAGGTTTTGTTTGCCTGCTGGACTTGTTCATTCGTTACTCCACTGGCGAGCTGAGAATTGCTGTGCACATCATAAATCGCTCCTTTATCTATTTCAACAGCTGTACTGCAAAACACTTGTAGTCTTTGGTGAAACAGTCACTGAAGATTTTGCAAGGCCATCGTGGGGTCTGGAGTTATTTTATGATTTTGTTTTTCAGTGGCTGCTTCCCAAAGTTCATGGGTTTGCTCTGTGAGCAATGGTAACTGAAAAGCTGGTTTGAATGTCTGTAGGTCTGGTACATGGAAACAGGATGTTGTGAGGTCCTTGTATTTGTTAGGGTTCACAATGCATTTTGCTTAACTGCAGGAAGGCACAGTTTCCTTCAGACTTGCCCAGAGTCTCCCCATTGTCTTCATTGCCTTGGAAACTCTTTTTAAGAGTGGTTGGTCCGTGTTTGGGACAGACACCTTTGTGGTCTGGATGATCATCTCTGAACAGCCAAGTTGGAAAGGCTTTTTCCTCACATTTCCTTTCCTTTTTGTGAGTGCATGCATCTGCATGACTTGTACGAAAGTAAGGCAAGTTGGCAACACCCCTCTAGTGTGACTTTGGTGACTGTGGTGATCTCCACAAGATCTGTAGCTAAGGGGTATCCTCAGCTGGCTGATTCCCAAAGCAAGACCGGTAACACCAGAGTCAGTTTAAACTGTGGGTATCTCTGCATCAGAAATGCCCTTGTCATGAGACTCTGTATATCTAGAGAGATGTGGGATCTTATATTTTTTATGTGTGCAAATGTGAAGTGTTGGGTATGTCTTATGCATTACAATCAAATGCTTTATTTTGTCTTCAGTTGGACTCATTGATTTTAGAGGTCTTTTCCAGCCTAAATAATTCCATGATTCTTTTAGTTTCCCTGGGCACTTTTTGTGCTGTAAACATAAACCCTGTCACAACTCTCCATCCTTCATAAGGAAATAATTCTTTTCACTATGGCTCAAGGAATACAATTAGAAATAATATTCCTAAGCTTGATAAAATCAGATTTTTACCTCACTTCTGAGCCATCCACAGTGCCCCTGGAAGTTTTGGTGCCAGCGAGGAAGGATGAACCAAAAGTGGAGCAAAGTGGAAGTCAGGGTGGTGAGGCTTGTGCAGCCCCTGATGGGGTTCAGCCACCAGATGGAACATGAGAACAAGTGGTGAAAAGCAGAAATGACTGTCAGGGACTGGCCTTGTTTGGACTGGCAGCCATGCAAGCTGTGACTGAGCAGCTGCCAGAGCAAGGGGGAAGTGGTGGTGTTTAATGGGGAGATCTTTAGGGTGCTACCATTTTGATGACACAGGAAAGTCAGTGATCATGCTCATCCGCTACACTAAACACTTTACACTAGTGTTTTTTAGATGTTAGGTGTAAGCATTGTCTACCCTTTCCATCCTGTTGATCCAGCAAAGTTCTAAATTCCTAAAGTGACTGCACATAACATTGAAGTTGCCTCATGCAAGGTCCTTTTTTCCCTCCTAAAGGGATGAGAGCTGAATCAGCCCCATTGCTGGGACCACTGAACATGTCCCTGGCTCTTGTCTCCAGCGAGGGGACAGGAAAAACACTGCCTTCCACACCAGTTGCTCTCTCTAAGTGTCCCTTCAGCTAAGAACATCCTTGTGAGCTCAACTCAGGACCAAAACAGACTGTGGCCCACCTCTGTAAACTGCAAGATAAAAACAAAGTGTGACAAGTGTTAAAAGTGCATGAGCCAGGCCTGGCAGGGAGGGCTGGTGGCTGCTAGCCCAGATGTCTGCCACTGGGCTTTTACTGATTAGCTGCTCTCTCAACTGAATACTTGAAAACACTTACTGTGTCCCTTCATTATATCAAGCAGGAAAGAGAAAGCACAGAGAAACTGATGGTTGTGCTTGCCATGGCTTGGAGCAGGAATAAAGTCAGTTCTTGCATCTGATTCAGAGACTAGCCCTCTTAGGAGCAGAAATTAAGCAAAATCAACTTGTGATTTCCTTCCAATAGCTCGACCCCAGACCCTGGGTTGCCATCTTGGAAGGTAATGGGAGAGAACCATAAGAACTTCCTCTGTGTTTTCTTGGCCTTATAGATCAAGGCAGAATTTTTCATAGAATCAGAGAGAATCACAGAATGGTTTGGGTTGGAAGGGACCTTAAAGACCATATAGTTCCAACTCCCCTGCCATAGACCTTTAGACCATATTGCTCGAAGTCACATCCAGCCTGGCCTTGAACAGTGCCAGGTATGGGGCATCCTGTTCCAATTCCTTCTCACTCTCACTGTGAAGAATTTCTTCCTAATATCTAATCTAATTTTTGATGTGAGAAATGCCTGCTGCCGAATGTATGGGAGATTTTATTGAAGAAATGGGGTTTTTCATGCAAGTTAAATGTGTGGTCAGGTGTCTAATCTTTGAAAGTTATCTGCCCCTGTTTTCTGAGGGAAATGAGGTAACTTCACATTGAATAGTCATTTCTGATCACTCCTGTGTACCACCTGCTTGATCAGGATTGCTGTGTTAGTAGCCAATTCCTGTTGGAAAATGGATGCTCTTCCAGTAACAAAACCACGAAAATATTTCCCATTAATCCTTTCCACTGAAATTATCACACTTCTTGAAGAAATATGTAGAAATGATATGACAGGAGAGCAAAGTGCAGCTCTGGTGCCTCCGTTAAGTGTGGTACAACTTGGTTGCTTCCTCCTTCTGTTTTTCTTGCTAGTGGCATTCCCTGGGTAGGCACCACCATCTGCGCCAGTATATTCTGGTCATACTGGCAAAGCAGTTAGATGCTTCAAGGGGCTTCCCTGCCCTTGGCAGATCCTGGGAAATGTATTTTGTGTCAGCACCTGTATTCTGATACAGAATATGGCAGGGGGAGAGGAGAGCATACCTCCAATGAGGTGCCACAGCAGGCTGAACAGCTCAGACAACTCATAGGGAGAGGTTGGTCAAAACATATCTGCTTTCAGATTGTCACTTGTCTAAAAAAAGTGACTCTTTTGCAACAAACTCATATTAGAAAACATTAGACAAAAGTTTTAATCATCCTCAGGAACTGTAAAAAAGGTCATGTCATTTTTTTCTGCATTTTCTTGAAAAATGTGGCTGCTTCATTCAGGGAAAGTCTTTTCATAATTGACATGGTGTGCAAATAAAGCAACTGTAGTGTTCCCACCTAAAAAAGGATTTAGTACTGCTGCGTTTTAGAGTTATGGCAAAGAGGGGAAAAGCATCCAGTAATAATCCTCCCAGCCACAGGATCAGATGTAGTGTACCTAAGCAGTTCCTAACCATCTAAGATAACTGGTCTATAACAGTTTCTAACCACAACCAAATAAATGGTCTTCCTTTGGCCTTGTCATGAGAAAAACTTTCCCAACATGTGACATTCTCTTTTCTCTGTCAGTGTTTCCTGTCTCCCCAGGCTGGAAAAATGCCACCCTTTTTGTGTGAAATCAGCTCAGGCCCTTCCTCTTGGCCTTTTACACACTTTGCATGTGATATATTCTTCTGGTTTTTCCTTATGGTAGATAAAAGGGCTTTTGTAATTTTTTTCTACATAGAATCATAGAATCACAGAATATGCTGAGTTGGAAGGGACTGCAAGAGCCCATGAAGCTGTTTTACCGCCTGTAAAGGCAGTGAGATTTGCTCTGTGTACTGGTTTGGGAGCTGGATGCTGGGTCTGGCTTTCCTTTCTCTGTTTGTTACTGATGGGCAGTATGGCTTAAGAGGTTTATTCAGGACGAGACCTAGAAATCCTTTTGCTAAGTGCAGCCTGACAGTTTCAGTGTGGCATCCTGAGAAAGAGATTCTGTGTATTTTTCTCTCAAAAACTAAGCAAGAATGAACACTTCAGATACTGAGGTCTCTGACTTTCCTGTCTGTTAAATGAGGAAAAAACTGCCCATTTCACAGGACAAGCAAAGTTTTATTTAATGTTAAGGTACCCAAAGACAGTACAATAACACTGGTAACTGCTGACACTAGTATTTCATCATACCTGAGATCATATTCTTTATTTTTCTACATTTCTTAAAATTTTTCTTCTAATTTTTAAAGTTTTTATTCCATGCTGCCTACCGCCCTAAATTACAGCAGAGCCTTTTCGGTGTTTTTGCAAATTGTTCTGTTCTCTAGCAAAGTTGACTTCATTCAGAGGTGTCTGAAGCAACCTCAGGAAAGCCAGAAGCTGTCCTGTGGGATGCAGAAACCGGTGGAGACACTGAAAGACAGAAGGGAACTGCTGTATTCATCTCTCTGCAACATAGTGAAGAAGAAATTTGGGGAATGGTAGATTAGTGAGTTAAGCATCAATTCCTAGAAAAATCATGAAATAGTTAATAAAACATTTTAAAAGCACCTTTCAAAAATAGTGTCAGATCAATCTAATTTTCTTTGCCAATGGTATAATGGTGTATAGACAAAGAGGAAGCAGTAGATACTATAGCTGGACTTTAGTAAAGCTTTTGGTACTACCTTAGCACTAATCTTATGGCTGAGAGACGTGTGACATTGATTAAGCTTCTACAGGGCAGGACAAAACTGGTGGGTAGTCTTGTTCAGAGAGTAATTACAAGTGGCTCATTCCCTAAGCAAAAGGATATACAAAATTACATCTTTCTTGGACTTCTCTTTTGAACATACTATCATTCCATATTTTCATTAGCCAAGATAATGAAATTTGTGCTATTAAATTAGCAGCTCATATACAGCTGAAATTGTTTGCAAGTACAATGAAGGGCCGAATTAAATTCAAAACAATCTTGACAACTCGGAGTACTTGCGGCTGAAAAGATTATTTCAATATGGGAATGTTGAAGGCACTTCAGTAGAAATAGTCCATGACGTAGCAGATGAGGCCCAACCAGCTGGGTAGCATCCCTAGGGAAGATCATCTGGGCTTGTGGTGGCACAATGATGGCATGCTGTCGTGAAGCACAATGATGGCATGCTGTCGCCACACACGTGGCGAGCACCAAG